TGCCCAGCTGTTACTGAAGGTCTGGTTCTAGCGATGTAAATCCTCTCGTGACTGCTCATCTGCTACTACTACTTCCGATAGACCGTTCAGCAGTCACCTGATGAAAATATAGTCATCCGAATTTTATCCTTGCCTGCCGTGGAGAGCTTGTAGGATAGCTCAAGTATAAATTTCGATTTCGCGGCCGCCAGTTCAGTGCCGCCCAGTGTCGTTCTCCTTCGCCATACGGTGTCACAGACAGACTCACACATGCAATTGATGAATTTGATAGTTGCAGGGAGATGTAACCTACGTCACGTAGGGAGTAAACCTCGACGGGCTTAGCTCGGTGTAATTCTCCGGGCTTCAAGATAGCGAGCCTCGGGAGAACGTCGCTATGCACATAGGATCTGTCATCGATATTAGAGTCAATCTTCATCGAGCTTCGAGTTTCGAAGTCCCTGCAATGCTGCGTTTATAATTTAACGCCGGTTCCGGTTTGGTTAGATAACGGCTTAGTTAGGCACGTCGAAAAGGGTTTAACTAATGCTGCAATGTTGCTCAGGGAACCATGCGCTGGCAGAACGTCCGGGTCGGCGTGGTAGAAACGGACCTCAGAGATGGGGTGCAGAGATAGATACGCCAATTATTTCTAGCAATAGACAGGCATATAGTCCTTGGGCGGCTGCAGAAACCTCTCACGGGTAATGTGTCTAGCCGACCTACTATTTTGGGAGTTTGGGTGCAAACGGCCGCACCCGCAGAGCATTCTCAGCGGACCCGTTGTGAGCTGGCCCGTTGGTAGCACAGATAGTCTTTGCCCGAGGAAGGGGGTAACACGTCAAGACAAATTTCGGTGGGAACAACAGAGATGGACGGTTGGCCTTGGCAACAACATTTTACATCGCTCTTTTGTTTCAATTCTTCTTCGGTCCACCGGAAAACATCCGTCATCACTAGCTCACTGGCAACTCGAAGCTGTTATTTGCTATTCCGGACACATTCAACAACATGATATACATACATCATTTATAAACACATGAACACATCAATACAATAAATCAAAGAAATAGGATGATCACTTCGACCTTCCAAAGGTCTTTTCTGAGGAACTTCCTCACGCTACCGAATTTTTCCCTTCATCAGTTTTCGCCAGATTTTTCCAGCGCACGAGCTCTTTCCTCGTCATCACCCCTCGGCGCATCTGGTGCATTGCCTTCTTTTTCTAACCGCAGCATCAGATCCCTCATTAATTTGCTCCGTGGTGAAGAAGTCATCTCCCATTTTTCCAGTATCAGGTTTCTTCGCTCCTTCTTCTTGCTCCAATTTGCGAACTTGCTTCTCGATTCTCTCAGTGTTCTCATGTACAAAATGAAACAACCAATCCAGGTTTCCGCTCTTATAACCAACAGGTGCGTTGAGGGCAGCAAAATGGTATATTTTCTCGCATTTGAGTTGGTCATTATCTGATTGCCAGTCGATACTCTCGATAAGAGGATTCAGAACGTCTCCCTTCAGATGGCCCAAGGGTGAGAAGGGACCTTCTTTAAGGAGAACTTTTTCGATATGGTTCCTCTTGTCAGTGCCCACCGGCCCCGCCTTGATCTCTGGATAGACCACCGTCCCGAGGTCTTCACTGTGTTCATAGGCTTCCACGACTAGCTCATCCTTGTCGTCTCTGAAACCGAGAGTGCAGATGATAGCATTTCCAAAGAAGCAACGTTGACTCGCAACGAGTAACTCGTGCTTCCTTACTTTACAATTATGTCGCGCCGAAACCATGACCCTTGTGGGAGAAGGCCTTCATAAAAGTGAAAGCCTTCTGTTCTGGATCCAGACGAGCCATGACCCGCACGTCTTCGCGCTTAGGTTATCCACAACCCGGCCTCCTCATGCTCCGTGGAGACGTACCAGTCGAAAACACAGAGACTTCCATCCTGCTTTTCTACAACATGGCTGATTTCGGTCTGACGCACAGGACCAGGAAATCGAGTCCCCGTTAGCGTAAAAGCTTACTTTAGCTGCGGAGGGCTTAAGATCGCTAAAGTCCACAGTCTGTTTTTTCTTCACCTGCAGGCACAATCAGAGAAGCTAACGACTATCAACCTTATCAAATGTCGCTGAATGGTACTTACATCTGAGGCCTTGAGATCTTTCTCAATACTATGCATTGCCTTAAGTGAAGGTATGACGAGGAGCATGAGCAGAGCAGGCCCAGAAGCCGAGCGTATTGACGATGCTCAGATGTAATTTATGCGCTAAGCAAGTCAAGTGCACGAATCCAGCCTCCCCCATACCATACTCAGTTCTAAGTAGGTCCATAGCGCGGAAGTTGGAACTGGCGCTATCCGTGGTGATGGACCGTATCTTCCCCAAAGCAACCCGCAGCTTCCAACGAGGTGTATATGCATGATGCAATATTAGCACCGGTATGCCTTCCCTTGAGGTCTACGAAGTCGATTAGGCGTCGTCCGAGGGCCTTCGGCATCGTTATAGAAGTGAGCTACGATACCAACGAATGAGCTTCGTGAGCTTCGTGACCAAACATCACAAGTGATGCCGATATCTGGGATGCTGCTCAGCTCATCTGAAGACGAAAAAGTACCAGAAAGTACGACTGATGCTTCTCACCTGTGATGGCCTGACTGTGATGCTGGACTTTCTTCTTGATCTCTCGGGCGAGTGAACGCCGAGAGGGCATCACGAACGATACACATAAGGACTTCACGAACTTTTGAAATGCACTGTTCTCGACCACGTTCAAGGGAAGACCAGCCTCCACCACAAGCTCGATAAGGGTTTCGAGAGAGAAAGTTCGCGCTCCTTTTTGTTTCGAAACCCTTTCGAATTCCGCCTCGGTCTCAGCTTCCCGAACAGTGCAGGATTTTTCGTGCGCCCTTACACCACTCAAGCTGCCGCGATTCATTTTGATCTTCTTGAAGCAACGAGGGCACTCTGCCATCGGAACCTCTTCGCCCTCACCCTCCATGGGATCGACTCTGCGCCACTTCGGGAAATGCTTCTCCAGGCTTGTGGGTCGCTTGCGCGAAGCAGATGACATGGTTAATAAAGTTTATTAAATAAACGGTTAAAGCCTTTGTGGTGGACTGGCTTAGAATAGCTTCCGAACTGACATCCAACTCAACTAGTCACATCAACAATACGAGAGAGTCTCTCGGAGAGACGTTGCGCGCCGTGCAATGGGGTACTTCAATGAACCTCGCTTCGCCAGCGTGCGATACACGTTCTACGCTTTTACGGTACCGTAACTCGGTACGGTACGGCTTTCGAACCCGTAAACGTTCTTATCAATTTACGGACCGTAACCGTAATTTTGCCCATGTATACATTGGAGACCGAGTGTCAAGCCGATTAGTCGCATTTTGATACATAGGATGAATCGATGACAGCGGGATTCGCTAAGTAATCCAAAAAGATGTGTATAAAAGATCTACGGAGTGCGGAAGAGGCACCAGCAGCAGGTGAGAGTACGAATTCACTGCAATTGGTCGCTTACTCATCAGAGTTGCCAAGGCTAGGGATATCATACGTCAGCCCTTTGAGCACAGATTCGGCAGCGGACAGAGCTGGCGATCAATCACCCTCAAGATGATTGTCACAATCGATGATGAAGGGGCCGTGGTCGACAGCTGGGGTAGCAGCAGTGCTCACGGGGGAGGGCGATTCATTAGTGACGGAACCCTAGGTAACGCTGGACCTTCTGGAATCAGGAAGGACATTGTAAAAACAGAAGGAATTTTTCATTGCTTACTTCCTCCACTTCTGTTTGCCTGCCGCTCAAACACTTGAATGCTGATGGGCCAGTCGGCCACAGTGTGCTGCAGCAAAGCGAGAATATTCGACATTGCCAGGGGGGGACTTCATTACGACGAACCCCATTGAAGCAGGACTATCAAACAAAGTACCACAATACAGACAGGCGTGGCGTTTACCGAGTTTTCCCGGGGTGGGGTGACCCCACTGGGGTCCAACGGAATTCTGCCGCCTCCAAGGCAACCAGAGGATTTTCTTGACCTCGCCGAACCCGGAGAAATACTACTCTAAGATGCTCGCCGAAAGAAACTTGCCGAAACGACTAGCATGCAAGAAACCTCTTAAGTGTCTCGCATACCGAAGCTTATGGATGATGAAGGAAGATGCACGCCTCCTTCACTCGATTAAGCTGCTTCAAGGGGTCCGAAAGATGGTAGCCGCCTCCGAGTTCGGCGGCGCTCATCCTGAAGCTGCTCGTGATACGTGCTACAGGCCAATAGAAGGGCTTCGTTGAGGTGCTAAGGAGTGCACATCATATATACTGGAGATGCACCCCCGTTGTATAATACGCTAGCGTAATACGCATTACGCATTACACAACGCGTAATGGCTCTATTTTACGCACATTACGCGTAAAACGCGTGGAGTGTATTACACAACTGTGGCCAGTACGCGCCTGGCGTACTGGGTCCGTACGCGCTTAACGTAGATATTATATGAGAGGTATTGTCCCAACTTTCAATAACACAAAGTCGATTCCCGTCTCCTGGTGATACAAAAAAATCAAAATTAATGAGAATTCGACAAGCACAGACCAAGGAAGTGATCGACAGACTCGCGTTTGCCATTTGAAACGTGTTTTGTCTGAGTTTCTGTGATCCAGGAGTGCTTTGAAATTAAGAAGTGCCGATTGAATTCATAATAGACTGTCGTCTAAGTACGCATGATAACATGTATTTACGCGTTATTTCACGTGGTTTTACGCATATAATACTCGATATTCTCGCGCGAAGTGTAAAACGCGTTTTACACCTGCCATTACGCGTACTACGCGTTAATACGCATAATAGCTCCGCGTGTTCACGCGTAATGGCGTATTTCGCATGCGTAATTACACTGGCGCCAAACTGTTTTACGCGTTATGCAGGTGCATCTCCACTGATCGATGGAGAGCTGAGCGATGGAGCATTCCAGTCAGCTGAAAGTCACATCAGCAACTCTCAAGTTGAGAGTATCAACAGCAATAATACTGGAACCGAGAATCGAACTCCGAGTCGGGACCTACTGCGTGTTAGGCAGTCGTCATAACCAACTAGACCATTCCAGCAAGCTGAGCATTCATCTCTATCCGGGGACCCGGTGAGCTCCGCGATCCGAAGATCCCGTCTACCATATTGGCTATGCTCAGCCTCAAAACGACCCAACGCGGGCTGCGCACCCAAAGCGAGAATCATACCACTAGACCACACAGCCATAGAAGCGAAGATATAACTGAGGCTCGGGCGCTTCGGTTTTTGTCGCCAGGAACCGCGTACACCCGAAGGCGAGACAGCAAATTCATTTACTGCATTTGAGCGCGCTCGACTGTTTGTCGAGTAACCCTGGGCTAAGTCGAGAATCAAACTCGAGACCTCTCGCACCCAAAGCGAGAACCATACCACTAGACCACACAGCCGGGAAGGACAACTCATAAATGAGGTTTGGGTGCTTCGGTGTCTGTCGCCAGAGACTGTACGCACCAGAAGACGCGATAGCAACTCCAACTCGGCGCATGATGTAGTACACGTGAAAGACAATGTAATACTGGAACCGACAGTCGAACTCGGGACCTACTGCGTGTTAGGCAGTCGTCATAACCAACTAGACCATTCCAGCAAGCTGAGCATTCATCTCTATCCGGGGACCCGGTGAGCTCCGTGATCCGAAGATCCCGTCTACCATATTGGCTGTGCTCAGCCTCAAAACGACCCAACGCGGGCTGAGTCGAGAATCGAACTCGAGACCTCTCGCACCCAAAGCGAGAATCATACCACTAGACCACACAGCCACAGAAGCAAACATATAACTGAGGCTCGGGCGCTTCGGTTCTTGTCGCCAGGAACAGCGTACACCTGAAGTCGAGACAACATATTCACTTACTGCATTTGGGTGCGCCCGACTGTATGTCGAGTAACCCTGGGCTAAGTCGAGAATCGAACACGAAACCTCTCACACCCGAAGCAAGAATCATACCACTAGACCACACAGCCGTAAAGGACAACTCATAAATGAGATTTGGGTGCTTCGGTGTCTGTCGCCAGAGACTGTGCGCACCAGAAGACGCGATAGCAACTCCAACTCGGCGCATGATGTAGTACACGTGAAAGATAGTGCAATACTGGAACCGAGAGTCGAACTCGGGACCTACTGCGTGTTAGGCAGTCGTCATAACCAACTAGACCATTCCAGCAGGCTGAGCACTCATTTCTATCCGGGGACCCGGTGAGCTCCGTGATCCGAAGATCCCGTCTACCATATTGGCTGTGCTCAGCCTCAAAACGACTCAGCGCGGGCTGAGACGAGAATCGAATCCGGGACCTCTTGCACCCAAAACGAGAATCATACCACTAAACCACACAGCCACAGAAGCGAATATATAACTGAGGCTCGCGCGCTTCGGTTTTTGCCGCCAGGAACCGCGTACACCTGAAGGCGAGACAACATATTCACTTACTGCATTTGGGTGCGCCCGACTGTATGTCGAATAACCCCGGGCTGAGTCGAGAATCGAACTCGAGACCTCTCGCACCCGAAGCGAGAATCATACCACTAGACCACACAGCCGTAAAGGACAACTCAAAAATGAGATTTGGGTGCTTCGGTGTCTGTCGCCAGAGACCGTGCGAATCAGAAGACGCGATAGCAACTCCAACTCGGCGCATGATGTAGTACACGTGAAAGACAATGTAATACTGGAACCGACAGTCGAACTCGGGACCTACTGCGTGTTAGGCAGTCGTCATAACCAACTAGACCATTCCAGCAAGCTGAGCATTCATCTCTATCCGGGGACCCGGTGAGCTCCGTGATCCGAAGATCCCGTCTACCATATTGGCTGTGCTCAGCCTCAAAACGACCCAACGCGGGCTGAGTCGAGAATCGAACTCGAGACCTCTCGCACCCAAAGCGAGAATCATACCACTAGACCACACAGCCACAGAAGCGAACATATAACTGAGGCTCGGGCGCTTCGGTTCTTGTCGCCAGGAACCGCGTACACCTGAAGTCGAGACAACATATTCACTTGCTGCATTTGGGTGCGCCCGACTGTATGTCGAGTAACCCTGGGCTAAGTCGAGAATCGAACACGAAACCTCTCACACCCGAAGCAAGAATCATACCACTAGACCACACAGCCGTAAAGGACAACTCATAAATGAGATTTGGGTGCTTCGGTGTCTGTCGCCAGAGACTGTGCGCACCAGAAGACGCGATAGCAACTCCAACTCGGCGCATGATGTAGTACACGTGAAAGATAGTGCAATACTGGAACCGAGAGTCGAACTCGGGACCTACTGCGTGTTAGGCAGTCGTCATAACCAACTAGACCATTCCAGCAGGCTGAGCACTCATTTCTATCCGGGGACCCGGTGAGCTCCGTGATCCGAAGATCCCGTCTACCAGGGTTTCACCTAGGCGTACTTCACGCGCCTGCAGGCGCGTGTCGCGTATCGTCGTGCCCTCACAGGCGCGCCTGCTGGGTCGCCGCTTAGGCGCGTCCGACGCGTCCGACGCGTCTGTTGGTAGATGTCTTAGCCATGATGCCTGGGCATCGGAGTTTTTGGTACTCTGTTTCCGGTCTTCTGATGACGGTGTCGCCCTTGCGAGTGTGAACAGGCTTGAAACTTCCACTTACTCAAAAGTTTCAAGTTGAAACTTCCAGGGATCGACCCCACTGGGGTCACCCCGAGCTATACATGCGCACCGTTACGGCTTCTCTGCGGTTTACGTTACGGTGCGCGTAACGTAAGTAGTTTACGGTTACGGAAGGGGCTTACGACTTTACGGTTGGTGCTGAACTGCCTTTTTGGAATTGTGGCGGTTTCGGGCTGTGAAACATTTGACCATAGCTCAAATAGTTGTTAAACTCATTATTGGTGGTTCGGATTCAACCGAAGCGCTGGGAGACTAACATTTGGCTCCGCATTGGCCACTCGTCTCCCTTTGAAATTCCATCCGTCTCACTCCCAGACTGACCCGGAACTGCCGAGCCGGCCTCGTCTACGCATGCGCATTCACATGAAACAGACTTAGACGACTTGAATGGCAATTCCCCATTTTGTCCATTACATCTCCGTAAGAGCCGTTACGGCGCCGTAATTTTTACGTTACGGGCCTTGAAGCGTTACCGTAAAGTCAGCCGTAACGGTCCGTAACGTAGCGCGCCGCCGGGACGCGGTCGAGCTACAGGCACGTCCGAGATTTCGGCTAGGTGAAACCCTG